CCAAGAGGAGGAGGCACGCTGCCCTCCCCTGTGTAATAAGAGGATCTCTCTGCAGGAGCAGGGACATTGAGTTCAGGAGAAGCCAGAGCAGCCCAGGGGCACGCGGCCGGCACCCGGCCCTCGGCCAAGCCAGAGCCTCAGCAGGGCAGGGCCATCTGGGAGAGCGGAGTATGGGCGGGGCTGTGACAGCCCTGGGCACCTGGGACTGGGACCTGACTCTCCCGCGTGGGACCCTGGTGTTTCACAGGCGGTGGTTTAACCCACAGCGCAGCAGTGCTGTGCCCGTCCCTCCATTTTTCTCTTGGTAACCAACTGCCTTAGTGAAAGAATGTAGGGCAGCAACATGTCTCGGTAGCAGTAGAGTTGGGGAGTCATAAATTAAATGGAACCCTCCCAGATATGTGAGTATGTGAAGGCTGTTGGACATTATCTGCCTGGACTGTGCTCTTAAGTTCTTTGCAATTAGAGAAACTGAAAACCAGATATTAACGTTGAATTAACCAGACTTAAAGTAGACTGTTAACCTGTTGATAGGGGAATAGATCTTTACGATGCGATAACTTTTTTTTTGAAAGGTTATTTATTTATTTGAAAGAGTTACACAGAGAAGGAGAGGAACAGAGAGAGGGAGAGAGGAAGAGGTCTTCCATCCTCTGGTTCACTCCTCAGTTGGCTGCAATGGCCAGAGCTGTGCCGATCAGAAGCCAGGATCCAGGAGCTTCTTCCGGGTCTCCCATACCAGGGTAGGGGCCCAAGGACTTGGGCCATCTTCTACTTGCTTTTCCAGGCCATAGCAGAAAGCTGGATTGGAAGTGAAGCAGCCGGCACTCGAACTGACGCCCATATGGGATCCCGCACTTCAGGCAGCAGCTTTACCCGCTACGCCCCAGCACCAGCCCCACAATAACTTCTTAAACTTGAGAATTCTGAAGCAGGTGTCTTGGTGAGCCAGGTCTCTGAAGGAAAAGCCAAAGTAGAGAGACTAAGGTGCATCTTCACCAGTTAGCGTCCCAGTGGCTTTGTTATATAATGCCTTTGAGTTACTTTCAGAAAAGCTAAACTTACTCTGTGCGATTGATTTGAAAGAATGACAGAGAGGTCCACTACCCACTGATTGATTCTCCAGATGGCCACAACGGCCAGGGCTAGGCCAGACAGAAGCCAGGGGCTTCATCCGGATCTCCCACGCAGGTGCTGGGATCTAAGCACATGGGCCGTCCTCTGCTGCTTTCCCATGCTCATTAGCAGGGAACTGGATTGGAAGTGGAGCAGCCGGGACTTGAACCAGTACCCATATGGGATACCGGCACTGCAGGCGAATTGTTCTCAAACTGCAACTTGATGAGTCTGTTTCAGCTCGACTGAGCAAGTTATTTACCCTCTCTGGGCCTCAGTTTCCTAATTTGTAAATTGGGAACTAAACCTTCCCAGTGCTTGCTGGAAGTTTTTATCTCCTATTTAACACTACAGCCGTCTTAATAAGGAAAGAGTGTATTTTGTATTTCAAAAATTAAAGTGCAGGGCAAAAAGAAATTGAATTCCAGTTCAAGATACTTCCTGCTCCAAACTACTGAAATCCTGGAAGTATAAAAACAGAAATAATCCTTAGTACTGGAAAGCCCAAAGGGTGCTACCAGCAGATGAGGACAGATCTATGACAAAATCTTACAGAATTAAGGAACCCCCAACTCCATAAAGGCAAAAGGCAGAGTAGGAAAACGGTGATGTTCTCAGAAAGATCCCATAATAACCTCAAATTTGAGGGGGGACTTAGAGCCCCCAGTGACTCCTACCTCCTGCTCCATGCCCTTGTGAGTGGCCCACACTTCTACCCCATAGAGCACAGCAGGAGCATGGGGATGGCCCTTCTGTGACCAGCTGGGATGAGATCCTGACCTCTGCACTGCGCGCAGACTCATCCGAATCACACGCACAAAGCCGGCTTCCAAGGCCCCAGTGGCAAGGCGCTCAGCCAGCCTTCTAACAGCTGGCAGTGAGCTCAGGCCCTCAGTTCAACAACTGCCAGGAACCGAGTCCTGCCAAGTGCATGTGGAAATTGGTCCTTCCCCAGCGAGACCTTGAAATGACTAGAGCCCGCCTCACATGCGACTGCAGCCTATGTGAGACCGGGAAGTAGAGAACACAGCTAAGCTGTGGCCACGCTCCTTACAGAAGCTCTGGCTTAAGGTGTGGCATTTTGCGCTGCTCATGCTTGGGGCATTTGTTATGTGCAATATTAAGATCAAAAACTGCAAAATGAAAATACTACCAGAGATAAAGTTGCTTTTACTTAATTGGAATTTACAAAGCATTCTTTGCAAAACCTGCAGAAAAACCATCTTTTCATGTGTCCCTGAGCTGTTTCCAGGATAAACTCTATCTGTGTCATAAACCAATTTCAGTAAGTGAGAAAGGACTCAAGTCATCCTAAGTGTGTTCGCTGAGTACAACGCAATTGTAAATCAACAGCAGGAAAAAGTCTGAAAAATCCCTGTTTGGAATTTAACACACTTGTAAATAGCCTAGGAGTCAAAAAATAAAAGGGAAATTAGAACATATCTTGAATGTGAGAACAATATGCCAAAAGCCTATGGATGCAGCGAGGCAGTGCTCAGAAGGAATTTTGTATCTTTAAAATAAAATCCCAAATTTAGCTGGCGCCGTGGCTCACTAGGCTAATCCTCCGCCTTGTGGCGCCGGCACACCGGGTTCTAGTCCCGGTCGGGGCACCGGATTCTGTTCCGGTTGCCCCTCTTCCAGGCCAGCTCTCTGCTGTGGCCAGGGAGTGCAGTGGAGGATGGCTCAAGTACTTGGGCCCTGCACCCCATGGGAGACCAGGAAAAGCACCTGGCTCCTGCCATCGGATCAGTGCGGTGCGCAGGCCGCAGCGGCCATTGGAGGGTGAACCAATGGCAAAGGAAGACCTTTCTCTCTGTCTGTCTCTCTCTCTCACTATCCACTCTGCCTGTCCAAAAATAAATAAATAAATAAATAAAAATTTAAAAAAATAAATAAATAAAATCCCAAATTTATATTAGATAGGAAAGTTCTAAAATCAATCATCTAAATCATCTAAGCTTTCCTGAAAAGCTACTTTCAAAGAGTGAGTCCAACTCAAACAGGAGAAAGGAAATAACAGAATAAACAAGTAACAAAGAATCCAGAAGACCACTGACATCAGGAAGAAAATCAACACAAGGTGAGAGAGAATGACAAGAGAATAAAAGCAAATGCAAAAATGAGCAAAATCTAGACTGAAAGAGTCCTCCACCACATAACCTACTGAGGTTAGATTATCGACACTTTATGCTAGCAGATCTGAGAATCTTTATGAAATAGACAAATTCTTACCGAAACTGCCTCAAACGGAAATAGAACACCTGAATCAAAGAAATTGAATTTGTGACTGGAATCTTCGCTCCCAGGAAAGTCCTGGCCCAGTTAAATTTACCAATAAGTTCTCTCAAACCCTTAAGAAAGAAAGAAAACTAAGCCTCACAGACTTTCAGAAAACACACAAGGGAGAAAAAAAGACAAAACACTTCCCTAGTCCTTGTGTTGGTTAGGACCATTTGTCTGAGTCAAAGCCAGAGGAAGACATCACGAGAACACAAACCTCGAGTGTCCGGGTGGGCATTTGGCTTACCCCAGCATTTAAGTCACTGCGCGGGACGCCCACTTCCCATACCTGGCCTGAGTCCCTGCTACTCCACTTCCAATCCAGTTTCCTGCTAACGCGCACCCTGGGAGGCAGCAAATGATAGCTCAAGTGATGGGTGCCAGCCCCACTGGGGGAGACCTGCACTGCTCTCAATTTCCACCTGGCTCGGCTCTGGCTGTCGTGGTCATTTGGGGAGTGAACCAATGGATGGAAAAACCACCCTCCCCTCTCTCTGTCCTCTTTCTCTGCCACTTAGTCTTGAAGATAAATGAAAATAAAGAAATAAACTTAAAAAAAGGAAAAGGCATGGCAAGAAGGCATGGGACTAAGGATGCAGCAACCTCGGGCGGGCACAGCCCCACAGTGCGACCCCTCGCTGTGCCAACAGGAGGGAGCAGGGGCTTTCAAGGGACAGCGGGGCCAAGGTCGTGGAAGACTGAGGGGTGGCTGAGTCCAGGACATTTGGGCTGTATTTGTCCGGTTTTTCCAGAACGGGTTCTTCCTTAGTGAGTACCCTTCCTTCCATCTTGTCTTCTGCGAAGCCTACGGCGTGACTAAGCAGCTCTACAAGAGAGTTGCTGGAAGTCTCTCCAGACAGCAGAAGCACCCTTCTCAAAAAGAAACAGCGGAGAAACAGTCTGCCCAGCTGCCAGCCTATTCTAAAACTCAACAAAACCAGTTCACGCCAACCCAACACACGATCCTACTTCATGATTCCTGAACCTAAGTGATAACTTCGTATTTTACTGCCTTAGGAATTAGCATGGTAAGATGTTTTATGAGCAGTCACAGGAATGCATCTGTGAATCTTATCAAAGCTGTTGTTGGAATGGACAGACTCCCATTTAGCCAGGCATAGAATGAAGACTGCAGGCCTGGTTTTAAAATAATCATAATCATAATCATAAAATCTCATTTCTCCAACAGAAAGGCTGACTACATCAGACACTCAAACCATGACCACCATGAAGGAGTGTGTGTGTATGGTGGGGGACTCCCTGGAACAAATATAAAAAATATGGCCACAGGTGCAGTACAGGTCTGCTTTTTTTCGAATTGGTACCAAACCTAATCAGATAGCACAACAGTGAAATGAGGTAGAAGGACAGAGACACGGCTCTCTCTGAAGCTGGATGCACACAGAGGCTGTTGTTGTCAGTCCGAGGCAAAGCTCTCCCTCCAGAACTCACTGCTTTTCCTCCTGTGGCACTCTGCCCAGCGACAAGCAGAGCGAGGGCAAAGGTTATCTGATGCACGCAAAGGAACCCCATGGCACTGCGTCAGGAAGGGAGACAGAGAGCACTTACTGTCTCCATGCAACACCCACCTGGTGAGCGGATGAGCCTTCTGTGTGTGCAAGACCCTGAGGTTTGCTTTCTGCCTGGGGGTGGTTTGCTGCTAAATCACATTTTCCATGCGGGGCGCTGCTGTGGGCAAAGACTTTCCACTGTAACTTGCAATGGAAGCTAGCAGCGCAACCTCGGGCCCGAGGGGAGGATTTCCCCTCCTTGTCTGATCTCACTGATCTCTGGGTGATGGAAAGTATGACCCCGGGTCCTGCTCAACTCACCCAACGACACGGGTGGGTCTTGTCACACAAGAGCAGTCCGAGGAAGGAAATGCATGCCTCTACTATTCCAGTAGGTGGCGCGGTCTCCTCTCCATCAGTCTCCACAGTGGCCCTCCTGCGTTCTCTCTCATCCCTTCAATCTACCTGGCAAACTGAACACTTGAAATCCATGTCTTCTGAAGTCTGGGCAAACAGATGAAAGGATAAGCCCCTTTTTGTAGAAATTTAGTTGTTATTTTGTAGATGAATTGAGTTTGAAGACTGGAGTGTGTTGAATGTTAGTGATGGAACAAGGACATAAGCCTCAGCCATTCTCCCTCATTGCCCAAAGGAGATAAACTTTGGAATGTACTCCTTGCCCTTGAAACTCACTTGGGTCTCACACCCTATTGTCTTCATACCCCACCCTGCATTATTTTCCAGGTTCCCAAGGCCCCGTTCCCCACCCCGCCCAGTTCCTGGAATTCCCCTCCCTGCTGCCCCCTAATGCCGCCCCCAGCCCTAGCCCTCCTTAAAAAGGCCCAGCCCCTGGGGGTTGGGGCCTTCTGCCACACGCTCCATCGTGTACACGCAGGCAGTTGGTCACCCACCTCTGCGGATTGATTTTCTCTGAATAAATATGTCTGGCTGTAAATTCGTGCACTGCCTCCTCTCTATTCTGCGACCCTTTTCCTAACAGAGGTAATGTTGAACAAAACAACAAATATTTCCAAAACATTAAAATTGCTATAATTTGTTTTAATAGTGTTTTCTTGTAATCCACACCAACCATTTTTTTGAGGGGTAGGGTGGTAGAGTGAGCACAAGAAAACCAGACTTCCCGGGTTCAAATTCCACCTCTCTCACACTGAGAGTTTTGCAATTTGGGCCAAATTGTCTAATGAGTGAGTTTTCCCATCTACACAGCAGGACTGATGAATCAATGGGTTATCGTGGATCGAACACTGAACACAGGAGTGGGCATTTTGTTCCAGTAGGTTAAGCCACAGCTGGGATACCCCAAGGGTCTGTCTTCTCTATTCGCCCAGACATCCTGCCTAGGACTCCGTGATCCAAAGAATTGGGAACATGTCCTTGAATTCTGACTAAAGCTCTAAAATCCCTCTGTCTCCCCATTTAAGACACCCAACCCTGGAGTCACGCAGGCCCCGCCTCCTACCATAATGCAGTTTCACTTTCACCCCCCCCAAAACTTGCTTTCAACATGTTTAAACCTTGGATATCATGTCTGGAACAAATTGACTGCTTTTCCCAGTTGATGGGAAGAAGACAAGTGAAGCGCAGTCAAGGACAGTCCCAGGGCCCGGGCACACCCACAAGTCTGCATCCTAGGCCTGATGTCTCCAGCGGGAAAGGAGGCAGAATTTCTACAAAACAGACATCGTGTGGGCCAGGGGAGAAGTACAGTGCGAGGGCGCCAGCCATAGACAAGGTGCACCGTCTTGGGGGACAGGAACAGGAAGGAGCTAAGGTTCATTGAGCACCGACCTGGTGGCCACCATAGAGCAGTGCTCCCGGAATGCTCCCGGTAGAATGTGAGCTGGATCCAGCCTCCCAAAGCAATCCCCACAAGTGGATTAGGTAAACAACCTTTACTTTTATCTGGATCTTTGGCTGTTGGCAGGAAGCCCACCCCCCCTGCTCTTCCAGAACCCGTATTTGCATTTTAGGGCCTGACAGGTTGGCCCCCTCCCCATGACCACCACCTCCAGCCCCCTGCTGCCTGTCCCTGCCCAGCTTTGAGGCGCATCTCAGTGGTGCCCCCCCAGGCAGGTGTCATCCTCCGCTTTTACTGCTGAGTAGCTGAAAGGTAAGTACCTTTCCCACGGCTGGGCTGCCTAACTCAAAGTAAAAGAGCTACAGGGAATTCTGGTCCATTGATATCGACTATAAGTATCATCCAGAACATAGGCGCTTGGAGTAAAAATACCGTAAGAGTGCAGGATTCAGGAGTGGGAAGATGCAGATTCAAACTCTAGTTGTGGCACTTTCTGAGTGTGTGCAGCCTGGGCACCGGGCTTGGCCCTGCTTTCCCGGACCACAGATGGCTGGGCAGGAGCACCTGAGATGTTTGGCAAGCCCTTGCTGTCAGGGCAAACTCTGTAACTCTAAGACATGGCTAGTGGTAGGCCAACAGCCGGACAGGCCTTGAGCTAATGGGTCAAGAGGGGCAAGGGCAAGGCTACCACTCCAGGCACTCCTCTTTGTCCGCAGGTGCTGACCACCCTCCCGCGCCCGCCCCGCCTCTGAGCTCTCCGGCCCCGCCCACCCGACCAGGGCCCGCCCCTGAGCTCTCCGGCTCCACCTATCCCATCCAGTTCCGCCCCCCGACCCGCCCAAGGTCCCGCCCCGGTCCCGCCCTCCCTACCGACTCCACCCTGGAGCGCTTGGGCAGCGACCGTTAGGGCCCAGTGCCTGGCCGGCGCCTCGCCTCCCAGGCCACAGCCCGCGCAGCCGCGCGCCTGCCAACAGCTGCGGGCGAAACCCCGGCCGAGCTACACGTGAGTCGCGGGAGGGGCGGCGGGAGGGGGACCCGAGAGTGCCGCCGGCTCGCCCCGAGACTTTGAAACCGGAAGCGCCGGGCTGCAGAGCCCCGTCCCGGCCGCCCGTCAGCGCTGCTCGGGTCCGGGAGACGCGCGGGGCAGGGGCGTGTGGGGCGAGAGGGTGTTCGCAGCAGGGCCGAGGTGCGGCGGGGGCCGGAGCTGGGCAGCTGGTCCAGAGGCGCCGGTAGACCGGAGGGGCCGGGTCAGGGTAGGGTGCTCGCCCTGCAGGTCTGCCCCGCTGACCCTCGTCGCGGTGCCTGGGAGCCTCCGGCCTGCGTGACTCCAGGGCTGGGTGTCTTAAGCACGCTCCGCTGGTGCGTGCTCGTTTAGGAGCGCGACCCGGAGGGGTCTTGAACCAAACCAAGGCTCTGAGGAGACATCCGAGCTGCCGGGGGGCCGAGCACCCGCGGAAACCGAGTTGTCCTCGTGGGTCCGGGCGCCCTGTCCCCGCTCTGCCGGGCTCCGGTCAAGGCCGAGCTTGTTGCGGGTTCCTGCGGCGGCCCGTCCCGCCGCGGGCCCCTTCCCTCGCCGGTTCTGCCGCCTCCTACAGAGGTTCCATGCTTGGCTGTTTCCAGTTTACGTCGGTGAGAACTTGGCGATCTCGCCGTGGCGAGTGTGGGTGAGCCGAGGCTGCCCCTTCCAGCGGGAGGCGTCCGGTGACCAGCTTAGCTCTGCAGATCCTCAGAGGTTCGGGGGCCGAGCGCGCGCTGGGCTGGGGCCCACGGAACAGAGTTCCTTTATCCGGAGAGACCTGCTCTCTCGCAGGGTGCTGGAAGGCAGGCGTGCAGCACCGGGCGCTGGTTCAGGAACTTCTGGGAATAGAACAGCGGTGCTGGCGCTGTGCAAGACCCTTTTAGGCAGCAGAAGGCCGAGGGTGGGCTTTTCCGACTCCATGGGGCTGCGGAAATGCTTTAGCCCCAGCAAAGCAGGTGTGGGTGAGAGCCTGACCAGGCCACCCCATGAAGCAGGAGAGGCAGAGACAGCTGCGGGAAAGGTGTGTGTGACACACAGGTGGCGAGCCGGCAGCCTCTGCAGAGGGTTTGGGGTTATCTTCATGTTTTTGTTGTGGCTTGAGGAGTGGATCAGTTCTCCTCTCCGGGCCCAGAAGAGGCTCCCGTCTGAGCCAGCATCTGGTGTCAGAGAGGGTGGCTGTCCCCACTGGCGCGGCTGAGGTCTGTGGCAGTGGCAGGGTGGGCAGGGTTTCCCTGAGTCGGCAAGCTTTTCGAAGGATCCGCTGGCTCGGGATTGCGGGGCCGTGAGGGAACATGGGAAAGAGCCGGTCCCCGGAAGCTGGAGCTTAGTGCCTGGGGCATGTAGTGACGATCAGCAGCGTGGGCTGCCCACTGCCTGCAGATCAGCTCTGTTGGGCTAGGGGTGGGAAGGTGCCTGGGCACTGGCCGCCTGTGACTATTTCTGCTTCACTGGGGACAACCTGGAAGAAAAACATCCTATTTCCCTGTTTGCACTGCTCTTTCCTTTGCAAAGCATTTTCTCATCGCTCTTGTCGTTTTGTTTTTATTTCGTTCCCCTTGATGCCCTCCTGAATGAGGCCAAAGCAGGACTACTGTCCACCTGTCCTGGATTGCGTGGGGCAAGCACCCAGTGTGTCAGTGACCCCCCGAGCTCCTCCCCTGGGCCAGGCACGGGGCTCCTGTGGTCGCTGGTTACCCCTGCCCCAGCTGCTTTCTCAGAGCCAGAGCTGCCCATCTCCTTATCAATCTCAGAGGCCCCCAGTTCTGGTAAGAGTCTGTTCCCAGCAAGTGGAACCAGTTCTGCTGGAGGCTGTGCAAGGCACACACGGACAGGCTCCCTGCCTGACCCCTGTGTCCAGCCAAGCCAACTCAGGACAACCTGCGTCTGATTTTGTGTGTATCCTGGAACCTAGCATTCAGGAGGTCTAGATTCATTTGGGGTGCTCCTCTCCTGACCTCTGAGGAACAGGGGGAACATGAGTGGGACAGGGCTCATGAGAAGAGAGGTTGGGCACCCAGTAGGACATGCCTCGCGCCCTGTAGTCAGAATAACACCACAGAGTTTACAGTAGCTCATTCTCTTGTCACATCCACAGAGAACAGGTGTTGCTCCTTCCAGCTCCCCCTGGCTGCAGGCTAGAACTCATGGCACACAGGGCAGGGCCAGGCCCACACCTTCTGATTCCAAATCCTGCGCTCTTCCTGTAGTGTCTCTGCTCAAGGCAGCTGGGGTTCACCAAAAGCTGCCCGATGCCTTTGTCGCTGATGAGTGTCTTGAAGAGTGCACGGATCACAGGAGGGTGGCGGCGGCAGACTGGGTCTCTGAAAAGCTTTTTCTGCCCAGGTGGCCGCTCTTTCTGGGGTTGCTGTGGGCAGGAGCTCTGTCGCCATGGAGCTGCAGCAGGGGGTGTCTGTGTGTGTGCTGGGGGAAGAGGAGCCCATGCCATAGGGCAGAAGCAATCCCTAGGGCTGGCAGGTGCCTGCTGCTGCCACGGCCAGGGTGAGACCAGTGGGAGTTTGTTGTTTTGCCCAGAGGAAAGCTGTACTGGAGGGGCCAGAGAGCAGCCTTGACCCCCACGGCTTTCTTCTTGTGAGGAAGTGGGGTGGAGGGCCTAGGAGGAAACAAAAGTGAAAATATGCACTGGCCTGACAGATTCCGAGTCTATTTACGGTGACAGAGGTATGCACGGTTTGCATGCTGGTGTCTGGAGGCAGGCGGTGGGGCGTGCTCAGATCGTGCCATGACAGAAGCAGCGTGCAAACACGTGGCGCTGTGCCGTGCAATGCACATCTGACGGGCAGGTCCTGTGGACCCAGCACAGCGAGAGTCCCTCTGCAGGAGTGGGGGGCAGGGGCTCCCCTCCCGCCAATGTCTGCAGATCCCCAAGCCTCTTTCATGACGCTGTGGGCTCTGCCACAGCCCCACCACCTCCCAGCAATCCAGACCATCCCTGAACTTCCCCGCAGCCTTTGCTCTCAAGGAGGCCGTGCCCTTCTCCCGACCGAGGGGAGAGCAGGTACACACACACACACACACACACACACCGTTACTCCCTTGTTCTGGGCCCTTTTTCCTCCCTCACAAAGGCCCCAACTCCTCTTCTTTGTCTTTCATGGACAAACTTCTGGAAGTAGCCGGCTCGTGGCCTCTCCGTCACTCAGTGTGCTGGGCACCTGCCACGCTGCTCAGATTACGCCGAGGGCTCTCGGGTCCTGGTCATCCTCTGTCGCCAGCCCTGCTGCAGCTGTTGCCCGGCTCCCCGGCGGCTGCCAGCCTGTCCCCATGGGCATTCCCTGCCCTGCCAAGGCCGGGGTGGGGCCAGGCAGCGTGCTCAGGCCGCTGCCCCTCTCCACAGAGCTCTGTTTCACTCCCATGGAAGTCCGTTCACAGCTCTGCTCTCACCCAGCTCTCTCCTTGGCCACTTTGGTTTGTGATATTCAGAATCTTTTTTGCGAAAGATTTATTTATTTGAAAGGTAGAGTTACAGAGAGAGAGGGAGAGGGAGGGAGAGAGATCTGCCATCTGCTGGTTCACTCCCCAAAGGGCTGCAACGGGCAGGGCTGGACCAGGCTGAAGCCGGAAGCCTACAACTCTGTTTCTCCCTTGGGGGTGACAGGGGCCCAAGGACTTGGGCCATCTTCTACTGCTTTTCCAGGTGCATTAACAGGGGGCTGCTCACAAGAAGAAGTGGAACAGGCAGGACTTGAACTGGTGCTTATATGGCACGGTGGCATTGCAGGCAGTGGCTTAGCCTGCGGCACCACAATGCCAGCCCCCAGAGCTTTCTCTTCCTCTCCCTGCCTATTAGGGATCCTTGTTGTCCCACCTCTCTGAGCCCGTCATCCCGATTGACTCCATTCCCAGCCCTGAGCCACATGGCCTTTTCCTGGGGGACCTGATCACCCATTCTCTCCGTTTGCTGCCCAGGTCCACCTGAATTCTTTCTCCTTTCCCACGCTGCAGAAGGAGCTCCTCGATTCATAGCCTAGGCACAGCACTTCTTCCGCTTGTAGTAGAGCGGAAGTCCTGTGGTCTTCTGAATCTGGCAGCCTAGGGTGGATACTGGATTTGTGACTTGCTGGGTGGAGCTGTATGATTTGGGCAAGTTGCCCAACCTCCATGGGTGTCCCTATTTCCACAGGTAAACAGAGATGGGAATGTCTCCCCTCTGGGGTTGCTGGAAGGACTACATGAGCCCATACGTACACAGAGCCCAGTGTCTCTGGGGTTTTCAGTGAAGCTGGGTTTTTTCCTTCCAAGTGTTTAGTGGCAGTAGAGAGTTGCAGGGGACCCTGGGGAGCTGGAACATGTGTGCCTCGCTTCAAGGCATTTGAATTTTAAATTAAAATGAGACAGGCAAGAGAACTCCTTGTGCCAGAGCAGACCGTCCTGCAAGCTAAGCTCCTGCTGCCTCTGGGCTGCCCAGGAGCTGGGGCGGCTGAGCTGGGACGGGGCAGGGGGCAGGGGGTGGGCAGCATCAGGGCTGCCAGGTTTCTGATGGCAGCAGCCACGTGGGGAGTGAGTCGTGACCATGAGGGCAGGCTGGAGAGAGCAGCTGGGGAGAGTTGCTCCCGTTTTGGTTGTGCTGGCTCTGAAGTGCCTGTGACGCTTTAAAAAGAGATTCTAGGAGGCAGGAGCGCATGGGCTGAGGCTGGGGAGACAGGTGGGCGGAAGTTGCCCGTTTCGGCACGGGCTTCAGTGCTAGCACGGCGTGGTTCCAGAGAAGAATAGGGCTGGCGCAGGGTGTTGCTCAGACAGGGTGAAGAGTGGAGATGGACTGGTGTCATTGGAGACCCAGAGGCCCCCGGTGACCGTGTGAGAGCAGTGTGGGCAGGTGGTGAGGGTGGGGGAGCCGAGCGTTGGGTAGAAGAGAAGAGTGGGTGGAGAAAGAGCACGAACTTTAGGGAAATCTGAGGGTGAGCATCTTGTTTTTCTCCAGCCTAAGGAGAGACTGTGAGTGTTTGGAAGCTGATGGGATGGAGCCAGCTGAAGAGTTGGGGGTGTGGGTGAGAATCAGCATCACAAAACCCCATGGGGGAGGGAGGCAGGGACCAGGTCAGGAGAGGGGAGGCAGACAGGCGGGGAGAGTGGCCCCACTCAGGCTGGGAGGGAGACGGCAGGAAGTGGAGTTTGTTCTGGTGTGATGACTACAGTAGGAAGTGAGGTTTCCTGGCGAGAAGGGGGAGTGAGCAAGGTCTACCCAGAAGAGAGAGGTCTGAGATGAACCTTGAAGACAGGAGCAGAGAGAGGAAAGCCCGCCCAGCACTGTTCCTCCTGATGATGTTCCCAGGCCAATAGGATTTTAGGTCTCAGGCCACCCTGTGCGAGGCCTGGCACCCAGGAGACGACCCATCACTGCTGCTTGAATCGAGGTGTGGGATTGTCTGCCTTTGGAGCATTCTTGGCACTGCCCCATTCTCCCAGGTACCCGATACCCTTAGACCAGAGTCCCCTACTGTGCACCTGCTGAGTGGGGGGCTGTCGGGCTTCACCGTGACAGTCTCCTGGACCCTGCCTTCCTTACCCTGCCCCTGCTCCCCCTGTCCCAGGTCGGCCTTGTCCTCTCTGGCTGGAACTGTTGAGTCTCAGGACTTGGACACACAGGTGACACGAGAAGCTAGTGGCCAAGAGACTGTCCGCAGAATAGCAAGAAGGCAGCCATTCATCTGTCTGTGATTACTGAGCACTTGTCACATGCACTGCTCTGGGTGCAGGGCTGGGAGTGGGGGGAGCTGCAGCAGGGGCTGGGGCATGGGTTGGAGGGGAGTGATGTTGGATTTCCATGTAGGATGGTCGGTGAAGGCCTCATTTGCGAGCGAGGTAGTGTTTGAGCCGATCCTGGAAGTACAGGAGGAGGCCGGCCCTGTTTCAGGGTGAAGAGCGCTCCAGGCAGGGGAGCAGCAAGCAGAAGGCAGTTCTACTCTTCAAGGAAAGCAAGGCCAGCCTGGCTGTAGGCAGTGGATGAGGGAAGCCCCCAGCATGTGAGCACGGAGCAGAGGGCTGCACTGTGCTGGGCCCTGACCTCTGAGGACCCTGGCTTCTACTCTGAGTGTTACCGGGCCATGGGCTCAGAGTGACAGATCTGACTTGACACTTTTGTGGGTCCCTCTGGCTGTGGTTAGGAGTGGGCCCTAAGGGAGCAGGGCAGAGCAGGAGACAGCTAGGAGGCCAGCACTGCACCTGCTAGGGCCGCGGTGAGGCGGAGCCTCGGTGGTGGTGCTGAGGATGGTGAGAAGTAGCTGACCGGGCATGTGTTGGGAAGAAAGTGCCAGCAGGGTCCGTGAGATGGAGAGGAAGAAAGAGCCAAGGGTGACTCGGCGATGGGTGGTGCTATTTCTCTGCAGTGGAGGAAGGCTATGGGAAGAGCGGGATGGGGCAGGGGTTGGCTGATCTGTGATGCCTTAAGCATGAAGCAGTGGCCTAGGCAGGCGGGATGAGTCTGGGGTTCAGGAGAGAGGCCCAGGAGATCAGGGCCCTGGCAGCCGTGGACGGAGGCACGGCCAGGAGCAGAGGCAGGGCATCCATCAGCAGCCGGAAGCGCCTGGAGTCATCACGGGAATCCAGGTGGTGCTTCTCAAGCATTCATTCTGTGCTGGGGCATTCTCAGGCAGAGCGTCCAGGGACCTGACTGCCCTGAGCACCAGTGCTGGTTTGTGTGTAGGCATGGTGTCCGCCTTGCCCAGCTGTCTGACGGCTCACTCCACACCCCTTCCCTTATAGAGTAACGTCCAGGCCTCTGCACGCGGAGCAGGCGCCGCATCAGTGTGGCTGGGGGAAGGGTGGACACACGTGGCTGCGAAGCGCTTGTTTATGGACACATTTCATCTTGGCTTGGAGGCTGGGAGGCAGGTGCTGATATTGTCCCATTTTCCAGACGGTAAAAAGGGGCACAGGTAAAGGAATGGCAGAAGGGAGTGGACCCCCGGCAGTCCAGCCCTGCAGCAGGTCGCTAGCCAACACCTCCCCGTCGATGTTGGTGAGAACACGTTTCATTCTCTATTAGCCGTGACAGAGGCGCGAGCACGGGATTTGGAGTCAAAGCCGCACAGGAGCCTCCCCTTGTCTGTGGTTTCACTTTCCACAGTTTCAGCTACTTGTGGTCAACCACAGTCTGAAAATAATAAATAGAAACTCCAGAAATAAACAACTCATAAGTTTTAAATTGTGCACCGTTCCAAAAAGTGTGTCCAGTCCCTCTCGGCCCTGCGCTGGCTGTGTGTCATCTCTGTGCACTGTATCCACCCTGTAGACACTACCCGCCATCTGTCACCTAGCAGCCGCCCCAGTTAGAGTGACGTCGGGTGCTGATGCCTGTGTGCAGGTGCCTGTTCCTTTGCTCTGGACTGACCGTGCACTGAAAGAGCAGTGATGCCGGCTGCTCAGGTCCGCCAAAGAGGAGCCACGATCGCTTGCTGGGAATGACACATGTTGTCACAAGAAGAGGAGGGGAACACAGGGCAATAAAATATTTTGAGAGAGAGAAAGAGAGATCACATTCACATAGCTTTTGTGCATACATTGTTATTATTATCCTGTGTTCTTAATAGTTATTGTTGTTAATATCTTATTGTGCCTAATTTATAAATTAAACTTTATCATAGGTAGGTGTGTGTGTATAAGGAAAAAAAATACATTATATATAGGGCTTGGTGTTACTGATGGTTCAGGCATCTACTGGGAGTCTTGGAATAACCCCTTCTCCCCCCAGTAAGATGGCAACGGAGGAGGGGCTGCTGTTGTATTCAAATCCCGGCTCCACTAGGTCTGGCCCTATGATTTGGGGCAAGTTGCTTAGCAACTCAGGGCTGAAACACTTCGTTGAAAATACGACGCTGATGATGATGCCACTGGGTCGGTGTAGAGATGGCTGTGATGCTGTGAACACTCAAGCTGGGAAGAGCTAGGAAGTCCTCATCATGCTGTTGAGGAATCAGACCCTAACCCTAAGCCGTTATAACCCTAGTTACCCAAGAGAACTGCCAGCAGGGTGGCGATGGCAGCAAGCCACCAGGCCCTGCTTCGGCAGAGCCATTCCTGGCTCCCTTGGATTTGTAGCTGCTTATGCAAGAGATTTGGTTTGAGGAGTTTCGTTGCTGTGTTTTGGATTGGTTTTTACCGTGAAACCCTTGGCTAGCTGATCTTGTAAGTCCTTCCCGAGCTGACTGGCTCCGTTGCAGAGGCAAAGCCACTCCCCAGATCTTGCCTGCTTCTCTTACCTCCTCTCTGGACTCCCGACCTGTGTCACCTTGACCCAGCCCAGCCATCAGTCTCAACAGCTGGCATCAGCTGTGGCCCCAAGGGGCTGCATTCTTTGACCTGGGCTCTAGGACGCCTGCCTGTGTGTGGCCCGGGCATCTGGGGTGTGTGTGCCTGGGACCTCAGGAAGCTGTCCCCCGAGGCTGGGCAGAGAGACCTCCTCTGTCTCATCTGCTCCCTCCATGGGCCTGCACCAGAGCCAGCCTCCCTGCCACTCTACCCCCCGCCACAGACTCCCCCGACTGCAGGCAGCTGTCAGAATGTCACACATCTGTGGTCAGCCTTGGAAATAGAAACCTAACACAGAGGCGGCTGTGGACGAGCCTTTGTGGGCAGAGGAGCAGGCTAGCGTGATATTGACCTTTGGAAGCTAAAAGTCCCCAAAAGGTCAAACCAAGGCTTCTGAATACAGCATCTCCCTGCCCCCATCTGAGGGATGTGCTCCCAGACTCCCAGCGGGTGCTGAAACCGTGGTAGGACTGAGCCCCGTGCCCAGTGTCGTTCCCCACACATACATCTTGTGAGACAGTGTTGACAGTATGAATTAGGCACAGTAAGAGACTCATGCCAATAATAAAGCACTTACAACAGTGTGCTCTTATAAAGCTGCCCGTGGTACTGCTTTTGCCCTTTGGGACATCGTGGAGTAAAATTAAGGCTACTTGAACCCTAGCACTGAGATACTGGAGCAGTCGAGCTGATAATCAAAATGGTCAGGAAGTCACTAGTGGGCGCAGTATCCAGTGTGGACCCGCTGGGGACTGGGGTGAAGGCATCACACTGCCCACCATGGGGCTTTATTGATTTATTTATTTTAAGATTTATTTATGTATTTGAAAGGCAGAGTTACAGAGGTAGAAGTGGGGGTGGGGGTCTTCCATCCACTGGTTCACTCCCTAAATGGCTGCAATAGCCAGAGCTGTGCTGATCCGAAGCCAGGAGCCAGGAGCTTCTTCCAGGTCTCCCAGGTGGGTGAAGGGGCCCAAGGACTTGGGCCATCTTCTACTGCTTTGAATAGGGCACAGCTTAAAACTCAGGAATCCTTTACTTGTGAGAATTTCCATTTAATCTCCTTGGGTAGTGGTTGAGGGCAGGGATCTGTGGGGTGGGGGGAAATGCTGTGCTCGCTGGCAGGGGAGTCTCAGTCGCTCCCCTCTCCTCTGGGCCTTCCCAGGATGGGCGGGGCCGAGGCTGGACTGGTCCTGCTGTGGACTGCTCTCTGCCAGGTGTGGGTGCGATGCTCCCAGGGCCGCTGGGCGCTGGTCTGGCTCCTCAGCGTGTGTGCTCCGTGTGCCCATGTGCCTGTGTGTGTATGTGTGTGTGTGTGTGTGTGTGTGTGTGAGAGAGAGAGAGAGAGAAGGAGCACGCGCGCATAGGGAGGATGGCCAGGCAGGGACCCGCTCGGGAGAGCACTGTGGTGAGATGCCAGCCCCGAAACTTGCTGAGGTGGGGGCTCCCCCGCCCATGCCTCCCTCACACGTGCAGTCTGGTGGCCAGGGGCAGGGAGAGGGTGCTCCTCCCTACCTCCCCCTCCATGAGGAGAAGTGGGAGCTGTGGTGAGAGAAAGGGCAGAGGGCTGACCCAGTGGGGAGCCCCTGCAGGGAGCCGGGTCGCCAGCAGGTGCAGTCGGGCCAGAAGGAGAAGCAGAAAGTCTGGCGGGCGGCATCCACAGAGGGATCAGGGAGTTTCAAGAAGGAAGTGTGGGAGAGATCATCGGCAAATCCAAGTGTGTGCTCACGCTGCGTTCCGGGGCAGCGAACTTTTCTGGTAGGGGCCGTTTGGATATTTACAATGTGCTTCCTGGACCGTACCAGAATATATATCAACTTGAAATGGGCCTGCTGTAGATGGGCTCAATTTCCAGTCCTTCCGGGTGGTTGCCTGGGCAGGGCCAGGCCAGGTGATTGTTCCCCACCCCTGCGAGGTGTTGGGACTGACACAGCTGGCATTTCCAGGGGACAGGGGCCTCACCTGCACCTTCCCACCCCACCCGGATGTGTCGGGACCGCAGGGTCCAGGTGCACTCAGGAGGCTGAGGGGGAGAGGGATGCTGCTGAGCTGAGGTGGGCTGGGCCAGGCTCTGGGACTGGGGCACTGGGCCCACCGCAATGCTCTGCTGCTTCCCCATCCCTGTCTGCCTGTGGTGGCTTCTCACTGAAGAAATGACTTACGCAAAGTGATGAACAGAATGAATGATGTTTGGAGCAAACTAGTCCAGAGTAACCATGAATTCAGAACAATGCACTGGGTGAAACCAGGAGGAAAATGTGTGTGGAGGAGACGAGAGAGAGAGGAGAGGATGGGAGCGGACGGGCGGCTCTGGCTGCAGGAGAGCAGCGGCTCCGGTCAGGGTCCGGGTGCGTGTGGCGCTGATGGAAGAGCTCACATGTGTACACACCTGGGGAACCCGTGGGGCCGCACCCAGCTCGGTGAGCACGAGGAGTCAGGCCAGCAGCGCTGTGCCCCCTGAAAGGTTGTGGTTGTGACTGTGAGCGTTTCTGAAGCAATGACTGGGGAGGGGAGCGTGGGTGGGCAGGACGTGCACAGGACGTCACTACGCTCGGACCACACCCCTGGATCCCACTCTGTGACCCAGACAGGGGCTAGAGATCCAGACACAGCACAGCGGGCGAGGCAGCAGGGCACAGAAAGCGCATGGGAAGCCAGTGGAAGTCTTTTGGCCACCGGCAGGTCTCGGGGGTCAGGTGGTCATCTCGTCACTGGAGGGGGCCTTCAGGAATAGTCCCAAACAGCTCCTGGCTCCCCTCCCTTCACCCTTGCCTCTCCCCGACTTGTCACACAGCATCACCGGTGCCCAGGTATGGAGCCCGAGCCTGAGGGTCAGCCTCCATTCCTCCCATGCCGTCCAGCCCCCGCCCCCCACTGCAGCCCAGGCCTGAGGTGGACACATCCGCATCTGGGTGTGCCTCAGCCTCCTAGCTGCTCCCTGCTGCCCTGGACTGCCACGGGCCATCTCCATGCCGTGTCCAGAAAGTGGTTTTTATTGTTTCCATTCAAGAGGCAGGAAGACAGGAACAGAGAAAGGGCACCTCTCTACTGGCTCAGTGCCCTCAGTGGCCAGCACTGCCTGGCTGGGCGTCAGGAGCTCAGCCAGGTCTCTCTGGTAGTGGCAGAAACCCAAGTACCTGACCATAGCTGCTGCCTGCCGGGATGCGCATTGGCAGGAAGCTGGCGTCAGGAGCTAGGGCTGGCTGTTACACCCAGGCGCTCCTGTGTGGAACGCAGGGGTCTCAACCACTAGGCCAAACATCCACCTGGACTGGTCTTTTTTTTTTTTTTTTTTTTTAACTTATTTTATTTGTTTGAAAGAGTTACGGGGGTTGGGGAAAGACCCTCTATCCATTGGTTCACTCTGCAAATGGCTACAGTAGCCAGGGCTAGGCCAGCCTGAAGCCAGGAGCCAGGAGTTTTGTCTGGGCCTCCCATGTAGGTGCAAGGGCCCAAGGATCTGGGCCAACTTCTGCTGCTTTTCCAAGCCATAGTGGAGAGCTGGGTTGGAAGTAGAATAGCTGGGACTTGGATTGGCGCCCAGATGGGATGCCATTGTCGCAGGCTGTGGTTTAACCCTTTATACCACAACACCAGCCCCTGTACTGGTCTTTTTAAGATTCCAAAGCAGACACTGTCCGTGGCTGCTTAAAATGCCCACGTGGCTTCACACTGCTTTGCTCTCAGTCCAGACTCCTTCCCATGGCCCTCTTGGCCGTATGCTTTGGCTCCTGCCTTTTCTCCTGCCTTTCCTGTTGTCCATGGTGCTCGGGCAGCGGCAGCCGCTGGGTGCCCTGGCTGCCCCTCTGCGTCCCGTGCTCTCCCTGCTCAGCCCGGCTCCCTTTGTCCCCCACCTGCCGCCGCCGCTGCTCCTCCAAGTGGCTGCCCCTGTCTCCAGCACAGCACCTGCTCATTTTCCCCCAAAGCTTGTGGCAGTCTGGAATTGTGGCCTCTCGGGGGTGAGTCCCACGGGGGCAGTGGGGCCCATCTGTCCTCTTCACCCTGATCCCCAGAGCCCGACACGTCAGAGCGGGTGACGTCCATGGAGGGTTTGGGGAAAATGCTTAGTAAGAGCCGCTGTCACCCTTACTGTGCACCGTTATTATCAGATCTCTGCACTGGCGGGGGAGTGGGGAGGCAGCCTGCAAACTTTCTGTGCAGCACCAGAGGCTAACTAGCTCAGGCTTTGTGGCAGCACCTAAACACCAGTAGATGGTGCATAATCCGATGAATGTGGCTGCGTCCCAATACAACTTTATTTCCAAAGCCAAGTCCCGGGCCGGCCAGCCCTGCTGGGGTTTTAATTTACTTCACCTTCAAAACGTCTATGAGGGACTACTGCTCTCACTGTCGCCATTTTGCGGATGGAGAAGCTGAGAGGCATGGACACCATGCTGAGGCCACATGCTGTAAAGGCTCAGGCGGACCCCTGCAAAGCCCACACAGTGGACCCTGGAGCAGCAGGGAGGAACCCCCACTCCTGCCGTCCCCTGAGGGCCTCCACCACCTGCTGCCCAAGTCTCACTTTCCTCCTGGTGACGGATGTGTCCTGGGGTTGTTCTCTGGGCAACAGTGAAGCAGTGTCTACCTTGGCCGTCTCTGAGCCTGGATCCACAGAACCTCTGGAAGTAGAACCTGACCCCAGTCCCATTCCATCCCCACCCTCCAATCACCCCTTCTCACGGCACCCCCTTCCCTCGGTCTCCATGCCCGGTACCCAGCAGCCTGTCCCACTGGTCTGCGGTCCCCTTTCCTGTTTGCCAGACGTTGACCGAGCACTCCGGGCCAGGCACAGCCACCTCTGAGGACCTGGAGGCGGATGACGGCAGCCCCCTCTCCCCCACCTTGGAGAGCTGATCTGTCCCTAGGTCGCAGCAGGGACAGGGACAGAGTTGGAGTGGAGGAGGGGCCGAGGGGCCCAGAAAGATCAGGGAGGCTGGCTTTTTTTGCTCTAGGTTTTTTCTCTTCCTTCATCTCGGACTGAGTTGTGAGAGCAAACCTGAAAGAGCCAGGTAGACTTTGGATGGTGGGGGCAGAGAGATTTCACCAGGGCTCCCGGCAGAGCCTGCACCCTCTCTCTGCACCCACGTTTGCTGCTCTGCCAGCCAGAAATGAGGAAGCCGAGGTTTCCTGACCACTGGGAGAGAAATCGCTTCTCTTCAAAGGAATGAAGATCACACCCATGTCATTCTTGGTCCTGTTTCCAAGAAAACCCTCTTCTGCCGGATAAAGAAAAGCAGACGCACCCTGTGTGCACCGCAGAGACGCCAAAGCCAGCCAGCTGGGACCAGTGCCCTGTGGTCACGTCTGCAGCTGTGCTGCTGCCACCTGGACTCGGCGTGCACGGCGTCCCCAGCGTGAGGCCGAGGCCTCAATACTTCTGTATTTCTCACTTTGTCTAACCTGCCCGGCTAAAGGAAAACAAAACCAGTTTCTCTGAGAGGCCCCAGAGAGGTTTGTTGCTGTTTCAAGCTGTGAAGACTCTGGGCCCAACAGAGGTGAGGAAGAGGAGGCGGAGGGCTGGGCGGAGCCGGGTGGTTGTAGAGGCCACCCCCCCACCCCGTTCCTGTCCTGGTCGTGGTCCCCCCAGTCTCTCTCTGTGGGCTGGGGAGGACACAAGCTTTGCAACAACTTTGCGCCTGTTTTACTTTCCTAGTGAGAACTCCTCAATGAGCGCAGGCACAGAGTTCAAAGCCAGACGCCGGCTGGAGCAGGGAGCGGCCTGCCCCTCCAGCGGTGGGCAGCCTGAATCCTGCTCTGGGTACTGCCCAGGGCACGGCTGCCGGGCCTCCCGCGTCAGTGTACCTCGGGGCGGGGGCTTTCATGTTTCCTGTCTCCGGCTGCACTCCCTCCTCTTCTAAGCCCAGGACTTTGTTGGGCCTTGCCTGGGTTTGGGCAGTGACTTCTCTGCCCCTTCCTCCGGCTGCTGAGTTGGCTCCTTCCTCTCCCCATGAGGCCTGAGCGGAGCTGAGAGATGGGCAGTTGCCTTCTAGCAGCCCATCCTGTGCGTGGGCAGCTGCCACTGGCCAGTCTGGAGTGGCCTCTCAGTGGTCCAGGGCTCCAGGACCACCCAAGGTCACCTGGCCCGCGCTTCCGCTCCCATCTCATCACCTGGGCTCTATGAGCTTTGCCTCCTGAAGAGAACAGGTCTCTGGCTCCCCAGCCCTTCGTGCCCCTCCCACGGTCCTCAGACAGCAGCCCTGGGCCCTGGGAGTGTTTAATCAGTCAGTCCTCATGGGCATCTCTGGCCTGGCATGGAGCAGAGGGTCGGGAAGGCCGAGGTGGGCCACCTGCAGGGGAAGCAGCACCCATATAGTCCCCCCGGGTATGCCACAGTCTGTGTTCCAGCTGCGGGTGTGAGTGCGAGGGATCAGCCAGAGTAGTCCCAAGTACTTCAAAACTCTAACGTGAGTTGCCCCCACCAACTTCTGCTTCCCAGAAAAATCCCATAGAGGGGTTTAAATACTTCTGTTGTCTTTATGTAGCCATCTATCTATCATCTATGTATCTATCATCGCTATTTGTACCTATCATCTATCCATCCATCTTTGTGTGCCTTCTCTTTGGGCATCTCCTCTCTCCAGATCTTAAATTCCTGGCATATCGTATCAAACTCTGTTTCCAAAAACAACAGGAAAATTATTTGTATTGAAAAAAAAATCATAATGCCCTGGGCAATTTGTTTATGGGTTTTTTTTTTTTTTTAGATTATTTATTTATTTATTTATTTGAGAGGCAGAGTTATAGACAGAGAGAGGGAGAGACAGAGAAAAAGAGCTTCCATCTGCTGGTTCACTCCCCAGATGGCTGCAACGGCTGGAGCTGGGCCTGTCCAAAGCCAGGAAGCAGGAGCTTCTTCTAGGTCTCCCACGACAGTGCAGGGGCCGTCTTCTGCTGCCTTCCCAGGCCATAGCAGAGCACTGGAAGGGAAGTGGAGCAGCCAGGACACAAACTGGTGCCCATATGGGGTGCGGGCACTGCGGGCGGCAGCTCAGCTCGGCGCCTTTGTTTTCTCAGTTGGCAGATTCTGTGTCTTTCACAGAACTTCCTTGATCTCATGGGTATAATGTGCTGTTTCAGTTTTGTAAATTGAGGTGAAATTCATACAGCATACATCTA